TAGAAACTAAACCTGAAGCACAATCAACCGACAAGGGTTAGGTTGACCAACCCCAGTATATCATTGGTAATTAACGTTTATAAGGAACCAGGCAGCTGGAGGTGGTGGAGAATGAAATCGGCACAAGCAGCCAGTAGCAGCGTGTAGCAGGAAGGAGTGAGTAGCACATGTACTCAGGGAAGAAACCGCGGGGAAGAGAGGGGAATTGGCAGCTTGATCTGTGTGAGATGTGATTGGAAGTTTGGATCAGGTGGATGATCATCTGATGTAGCATGACTGTGCAGGTTCTGTCTAATGAGAATAAATCATACCCCGGGTGGAAATGAAGAATTTATACAAGCAAGGGTCCTCACACCGTCTCCATCAGGTCCCATGCATGTGGACTATTGAGAAACTGAGCCTAGGTTGGGTTTTTTTCCAACTAGAATTTCTCATTGAAAGATGAATAAGAGGACAGATTGTCAGCTTTTGACAATATGCCACCATCGGCAGCCAATTAAACAGACCAACTTAATCTTAATGTTTACTCTTCACTGTATTTACTTTGATTGCAGCCAGTTATCTTCCCACACAGCAACATAATGTACAAATGCAATTTCAGCAGTTTTAGCTTTTGTGCAAGTCAACATTTTGGCATTATTCCAAAAATAAATCAATACCTGTCACCCTTGTGGTGCCTTATGAGCAGCAGCTCTCAGCTAATGGACACCAAGTGTGTCTTCCCAGTCCTCTCTCATGTGGACTGTGTGGGATGTGTGATGCGTGTTATAATGTTACCAACACAACACCCATTTCTCAGATCTGCCAGATTTAATGAGAGGGATAGAGAGACTGTGTTTATGTATTTCTATGAGGGAGGACATGTTTTGATATCTGTAGCTGCTCATTTCAACCCAGGTGTGTGCTGCACATGTGGAGAGTGTGTGTGTGTTTTTGGTCCCAGGTGTGTTCAACTCTAACTAGTTAATGTTCATTTTGTTTGGGTGAAAAAAAGCTGCTCCTGTTATATCTAACCTTGTAGCAGGAAGGCCAGCTTGAATGAATCGTTGGGAAGTCAAGCGATTAAGTGCAGTTGTGTAGGTGAGATGTGTTCAGTTTGAGTGGATGACAAGTTGGTTTAAACAGTTCCTACACACAGTCCACATCTTCAACAGCTTGGCCTCAGATCTGAAATTCATCAACAGTATGCTCTCATAGGTCTGGGATCCTGCTCTTTTTTCTCTTTGTTTTGTTTCAAGGATGTTCTTGAAACTTTATTTTCAGATCCAGTCCCCCTCTTCCTAATCTTCATTTTACATTTTTAGGTCCCTTTCTCCTCTCCTTCAGAGAGCCTTGTTTTGGTTGTAACAGATTGGCCCGGCCCCCTCAGCCTTGCCTGGCTGCCGGTGTCTGGGCTGCTTGTGTCGGTGTGGGTCAGTAGCTGCAGGCTGTTTGTTGACTGCGCCGAGAGACGGTGTGGGGGTGGGTGTCAGGAGGACAGCAGACAGTTGTTATGGGCTCGGGCTCTCTTCTCTAAGCTCTTCACTGCTCTTCACTTCTCCACCGGCTTTTGACACCCTCCCGGTCGAAATCCCCTTCCATGATAACTCCCACGCACTCCTCTCTGTCCTCCTTTTCCCTTTTGTTCTTTGTCCTCACTCCAATCACTCTTTCATTGCCTTTAGCTCTCTTTCTCCTTGTCTTTTTATTTCTCCACAGTGGCTTTGCACTGTGCTCCTTTTCTAGTTGCTTCTGCTGCAATTTATACTCTCTTTTTGTCTTTCTCATGAATATTTCTCCAATCCCTCACTTCTTCTCGTCTTCCCATCTGACTGGACTCCTTCAACAGTCATCGAGTATCACGGACAGTCCACCCTGCAGAGCATTGTTCAGTCAATCAGACCAACAGTTACCTCCATCCTACAAACTATCTCCCAGTCAGACAGTTGTCCCTGTGGACTTATTCAGTCAGACAGCCAGTCTGTTTCTCCCCGTGGCTCTCAGACTTTGCATGGCAACAGGTCACTGGTAGAAACACCAAACCCACCACACCCTGTGTTTCCAGCCCAGCAGACGCACCATCTGTAGCAGATTGCTGGGTTACCATGGAGTAGATGAAGAGGCAGTAACAAAATTGCTTTGTGTGTGTGTGTGTGTGTGTGTGTGTGTGAACATATAATAGAACAAGATAGTTGAGACATAATTTACATTCCTTCTTGGCTGTGGAGCATCTGGCAGATTTTGGACAAACAAATTATGAGGAAGCATATTTATTATTTTTTTCATAATTAATCATATGAGCATATCTGCAAATTATTCTTAATAACATTGTTCAACAGTTCTGCTTGTTATCATTACATCATCTGTTGCTTTTTAGATCTTTATTAACATATTAACATGTGTTGCAGCAGTCCATACTCAATATAACCACTGAAGAATAAAGGATCCTTTTGTGGAGTTTTTGTGCCCAAGGTCACTCAGCACATGGATGGGTTGACAGCCCCCCACCAGAGTCAGGATATCATAGACTGATCTCTGAACAGATCTACTGCATGCAGGCCCATGCAAAATGACTACAAAGAGATTTAAACTGCCACAAAAAGACACAAGTTGACTACAATCAGTTGAATTAAATGTATTTAATCTTAATTTAACATATTTCATATTAGAGTATTACATATATTTACAGTTGTTTATCTTGCATTTACTTATTACACTGAATAAACAGTGTAACTATTCCCCACCAACCTCCCACCGACTTCAATGGCATGTCGAGTCCAAATAACAGTAACTAGGCATGCCAAGTCGTGGCCAGAAAGCAGCAATAATCTAAAGGCTTCAGTCTCATATGAAGTGTTTTCATATAATTGCCGCGATGTGAAGCTGCAGCTGCACAGAGAAGCACATGTCATGTTGGCTTGTCTTTGGATTTTCTTTAACTTGAGTTGTCCTGCTATGCAGAAAGAATGGTCTGTTTTAGTATATAGATAGTACATTTTTAGAGACTCAATACGCATTAGTTTGATGAAATGAGACCACATTAGTTACGCAAGGTGAACGCAAGCTAGTGCCTGTTCGACCAGTGCTATTATTTAGCCTGTTGGTTGAATGGTTTAGAGATTAGAATATGATGGGGCATTATGGCACAGGATACCGCGTTGAAGCACAGCTGTTTCCACTGTTGGCTTTTCTCAGTTTTTGAATCATCATCGTTTATTCCAAATAAACTTTAAAATGTTTCCCTTTTTGTGTTTTATTGTACAAGCAGGAGCCAAACTAGTCAGCCTCCAAACGATGATACAGATGATAATAATGTGTT